TCTCTCTCTCTCTCTCTCTCTCTCTCTCTCTCTCTCTCTCTCTCTTTCTCTCTCTCTCTTTCTCTCTCCTTCATTCTCTCTCTTTCATTCTCTCTCTGTTTCTTTGCATCTCTTCATGCCGCCGCTCTGGCTACGTGCCGCTCTGTCTGTCGGTCGGCCTGTCCAGCTGTCTGTATATCTACCCCCTCCTGCCCCCCCCCTTCCCAACTTACTCTATGCCCGTTTCTTGTCGCATGTCGTCCAGCAGGCCAACGGCCTCACGCCACATGCCGGCCAGATCGCAGGCGATGATCCCCCCCGAATAGCTCGCTGCATCCGGCGGAACCCCCCTTCGAACCGGACAAAAAAAAAAAACACAGAAAAAACATTGATGCGGGCGTTTGGTACAGTGCATAGATAGGCTACGGCAGTACCATACCGTGGTATGTCTTACAGTGATCCCTGTACAAGGCTGCAACAACTGCATAAATTGAGACGGTGACCTCGTACATATAAGGCCGATGGCATCGCTTGACACAGGCAGATGGAATATTCAAGTAGTCTCATACTGACTGTAGTACCGGATGCCCCGCACAAGACGAGCCGAATCCTTTGGCACTGCTGTGCGGCCTCACACGAGGACCTCTGTTGCTGAACCTCGGAATGTATGTATTCTCTGGCCCCCGGATTTTCATGTACTCGTCAAGACTAGTCTTCCGTTTTCACTCCATGCTTTTGTTTTACATAGGCCGGGATAGGGTTGCGCCAGTAACACAAGCAAGGAAAGCACACAACAGTGGAGCACATCATCAGGGCACGGAAAAACCGTGGGGCAATACAAACGGACCCGTGCCAGCAAAAAAAATAAAAGCAGCAGAAACAGACATCGGCGGCACCTGTAACTGCCGCAAAAACACGGTATTATTCTTTCCTAGGGTTACAGGGGTAGGGTTAGGGTTAGGGTTAGTACTTTTTTTTTAGGTCATCTCACCTACGGTGCATTTCTTGCAGCAGCGCGAGGACAAATTCGGCGCCGCCGGCGGCCCCGCAGGCGCGAATTACGTGGTTGTACGCCTGCACCAACCCCGACGACGAACCCCCGTCGGCGCCCCAATGTGCGTCTCCCCCGACCGATTCACGCCCCCCCTCAAGGGTCCGGTTGAATCCTGGAGGGTTGTCCGCGGGCTGAGCGCTGGCTGCACACGCGTGCATAAGGTCTAATACCTGAGGGAGGGCGTAACGCAGAGGGGTTCGACGGAGTCGGGGGTGGGAGGGGAGGGATGTTGTATCAGTAGTAATAATCTAGAAACGTGTTGGTATGTAAGGAATCGACGTTCCTTTTGGTCGCGAAAACATCGTGGTGTCCTGCTTGTGGATCACGGGGAACATTGGAATAGTAGCAATCATGAGGACACATCCAGTGTTACAGGAAGAACCCGTTGTGAGAAACGAAATAACGGGGTCTCGAGAGGCCACTGATGGATAAACGGGCATTCGACACGGAGATTGCTGGCATGATCGGGCGGATCACCACGTGTGGCACCGTCCCGCTCACTCTACCTGAACCCTCTCTTCTTGCCAAGTTATCAACGGAGAAGCTCTGCTGCCCACCGTAGCGGGGTAAAGCTACCAAGACCTTAGGGTTCTTCTGCCCCATATTTCTGCAACACGGGTTGCCCCAAGTTTACTTCATCGCGCGAAACAACGAGAGGCGCGTGTAACTCCAAAAACCTTACCCGCATGCATACGGCCTTCGTATGACGGCATGAAGAGAGTGCCACGCACGCCTTCCAGAAATCCCCACGCATCAGCGGCAGTTTCAACACGACACTTCATGGCCGATTCAGAACTGCCGTTTCATGGCCGGTTTGTCAAACGGAATGGCGGCGGCCGCACAACAACACGCCACGACAGGGAGACAGCGCACTCTGCGTCTTGTGGAGCCTGACCTGTACAATCGACGACCACTCCGCCCCCCCGAAGCAAGCCGCCGTCAACCCCGCCGAAAAATCCCTCGGTGCCGGAGAAACCTTCCTCCCCTCTTCCCCCTCGACCTCGCCCCGCGCCATGCTCTCCAAAAGCGAAACCGCCACTTTCCAGGGGACGACGGGAGGGGACAATCCGACACGTCCCCGGGTTTCTTCGCCGGAGGGGGTAATCACTGCCGACGAGTGGGCTGTTGGCGGTGCCCGGTTTGAAGGAGCGGGCGGGGGGGAGGGGACGGTGGAGGGTTGTCCCCGGGTTTCGATTGGAGGCGGTGCGTTCTCGAGGGCGATGAGGGCCGTGCGGAGGGTGATCCCGTTCGGGGAGACGCCGTCCTGGCGCATGAGCTGGAGCCAGACGCGGCAAGAACGAAATCACCATCAGAAAGCAGCGGCGGCGACGGCGACAGGAGGAGAGTTGGGGGCACGCGGTTACAAGACAACAACAGCAGTGGCAGCACACGCCCCAAGCCGGGAGAGAAACAGCGGCAGCAAAAAGCGGCAGGCCCACTCCCCTCCAAGCTCCTCGCGATCCTCCGAATGTTTAGTCGCCTTCGGAGGTGCCGCTTTTTCGACCCCCAACAAGATCAAACTTACTCCGCTCCAGACATTCGACCTGGTACTGGTTTCATCATTGACCAATGGAGAATGTCCACTCTTGCCCACCCCAACACCCCCAGGATATTCTTCTTCTCACGTCCAGCAGACCCACGGCCTCCTCCCAGCGACCGGCCTTTCCGCAGGCAGAGATGGCCGCCGTGTAGGCGAAGACGTTAGCCTTGCCCTTGGTCTTCACCCTTCTTCCCTCGTTTTCACCGTCGCCGCCGTCCTCCTCCTCCCTGGCATCGTCCAGCATCATCAGGGCCACGTCCCAGGCACCGCTGCGGTCGCAGGCTGCGATCACGATGCTGTCCGATTCAATGGTAATTTTGTTGTGGGGAAAGACGACTTTAACGGGAGAAGGAATGGTGCTCGGTGGTGGGGGGCGGGGGGGGGGGGGGGGGGCGTAAACTCATGTAAAAGCATGCCGTAGTCGTTGGACTAATTACCCCGCATCCCTACAATGCCGGGACGGAGCGATGTGCCGGATTTTCGCCGGCCCAGGCTACGAACCCGAGGTNATTTACTCTTCTGCCTTCTTCCTGGTGGGTTTTGTCCTGCAGGCGCTACAGCAACTCTGGCTTCCGGCATCGCTCCGAAATATGGGCACCACGCCAAATACCATACCGGTAATAGTTTAGTCCAGACCCCTCCTCTCTCAGACTATCAAAAAGATACACCCGCGTGAAGCACGTATCTCGCCCACCCGGCTGTGCAAGCCGGAGGGGAGCAAACATCAGTCTCTACCCGCCTCGGCAAAACCGCGACCCGTTCGACTCAACAGTCTTTTACTGGCCACATCGAAACGACAACTCTCGCACTGTCATGGTCGTTTCCTCGAAGTCGAACATGGCTGATCGCCGTTATCGCTTTGCCCTGACAACTATCTACTCTTCTCGTTTGGTGGAAAACGAACCGAACCTTTCTGCCTTGAAGCCGCCACTGTCGCCTCGTCATGACAGCTATCAACAGAACGCGCCACCAAACAAGCAAGACGTTGGTAGCTAGGAAACAGAGTCGTCCTTTTTCCACGAGATGTGCACAAGAACCTGAGTCCTACCGACACAATGAAAACCAACATTTCTCCCCGTTGGTTTCCCGACAGATAAAACAAGGAGCTAGTCTCGCCCAAGATGACAAGAGTTGTTTGAAGTGGTGGCACGGCCTACAATCTCTCTTGGTAGGCTGAAACTAGACCTCACGCGCTCGAAACAGTCACCAGCGCTCCGTCATTCACCGCGGCTAAGCCACAATTTGCTCCGTGACTCGCCTGTACGTCAGGCTGTCCGGAACCAGTCCCTCCGTGTGCATATCGTCCACGAGTCGCACCGCTCGTTCCCAGCATCCCCCTCGGCCACACGCCTGATGCGCCACAGCGTTCGTCCCACGAGGCAGGAGGAGGGATGGACACGTCGCGCCGAGGTTGGTTCGTGTGTGTTCTTCAGAACCCGAAATCAAACCATTATACCCTGCTCTGAGTGAAACATATCTGGTCATTCGAATCCCACGAATCACATCAATAGAAGCCGAAATCAAACCATGAACTTGTCAGCCAAATGGTTTGATTTGGCTTCTACAGTTCGAATGGAACGTTTTGCGGGGGGGGGGGTCAGTTCTGCTGCTGTAGGGACTCATCAAAGGTGGCGTCGTCCAGATAGACGGCGAATAAAGACCTCCTTCTATCGCGGTTCAGCAGGGCGTAACACCGCACGAACGCTCGCAATGCAAACACTCAATGACACACTCAGCCCCGCGAGAGTGCCATGCCACGTTTCAAGATTAATCTACCCTACCCGTCGCTTTCCGCCCCATTACACCTCATCGTTCGCGATGAGCTGACGCCAAACGCCCCTACAGAGTGACCTTGATGACAGCGTGAAACTCAAATTAACAACGGAAACCCCGGCAGCAGCGTCAACCTCACGTTAATGGCGGGTTCAGCAGATACCCATAGCTGCATATAACAAGGTACACCAACTGACTCCCAATGACGTCAAACTCGCCTCAACAACGGCGTTCAACTTCCCCCCGATTTCAGCGTTTAAACCTCCCCAATATCGGCGATGATAATCCCGATACTGGCTCTAGAAACGCTTCAATGTCGGTGTAAAAAAACACCGAGAGCGGCATTATCCTCACCTCAATGGCGGCGTTAAACGTCCTTGCGTCGGGGGACACGCCCGCCTCCTTCATTTCCTCCAGCAGGCCTGTCGCGCGCTCCCAGTCTCCTCCCTTTCCAAGTGCTCGAATAGCCTGGTTGTAGTTTATCGCGTTCGGTGGCACTCCGTCCCCTCGCATTTCCTGTGATGGTATCGTGCCATGTCGTCAAGGCGCGCAGTTCTGATTGAGGCGGGGAGTGTTTGGTAGAGTGAAGTGAATGCCAGCAACAACTTTCCGTTCGGCGGGAGATTGGAATTGCTAGTACTTCCCGCAAGACACGGGTCTGGCGCAAAGTACTTGGATCGTTTGGTATAATGTATTGTAAGCGTATCCTGCTTGGTCTCCCTCTCTCTCTCTGCTGATTTCCAAGATTGTTCTCTTTTCTCTTTGTATTCTATTCCTTCTCTCTATAAATCTCCGACCTCAACTCCGACCCTCAGCCGACCAAGCTCACCTCAAGCATTCCGGCGACCTTCTGCCACTGGTCTCCCTCAATACAAGCCGTCATGGCGGCGCTCCACGTGAACACGTCCGCACGGGGCCCCCCACCCCCCCACCCCCCCCCGCCATTCTTAAGCCCGTCAATATTGTCGTTGGATTCAACACCATCGGCAGGCAACGTCGTCGCCGAATGCACACGTCGAGAGTCATACGAGGAGGGAGGGTCGGACGATGGCAGGAAGCCGGGGGGGGTACCGGGTGATGGCCTCGCACGCGGCCGAGGGGGGCGCATCGTATCGAGTAACGCTAGCGCCTTCTCGGTCTCGCCGGATCTACGCAGGACACCAGGAAAACGGAGAGACAGGGGGGAAAGGGCAAAGTACTCAGTCGTAGAAAGCCGGTTGTTACCTGCTGGAGCCTAGGTAGATAGAAAGCGAGGATATCAGCTGGGCTCGAGAAACACCACACGTCGAGGAGATCGGACAACTACATGAATACGTCAACGAAACACACAAGGGGTGCACGATCTAACCGACTGCTGTCCAGCGAGAGAACCTCTGCTGGGCTAGAAAAAACACCCCGTCTCCTACTTGAACGCACCGACGACTCTTGAACGGGCAAGCGAGACAAGCACGGGCGCACGAGCCATCCGGTTCTTGCACAGTCCGGTCGTCGGGATCGACGCCGAAGGTCTCGTTCGCACTTCAGCGGACCCTCCCACCACCAACGCCCCCGCGACTCTTAGTCTCTCTCTCTCTCTCTCTCTCTCTCTCTCTCTCTCTCTCTCTCTCTCCCTCCCTCTCCCTGCTTCTCTCTCTCTTTCTCTGTCTTTGCCCCCCCCCGCCCTCTCTAATGTCTATCCGTCTGTCTGTCTGACTTTCTGTCTGTCTGCTCTGTCGTTCTCTCCACCCCAAACCTACACCCCCTTTCTACACCGGTACCACACCCCTCCCGTTTCCCGTCGACACCGCGCGGAGTCCTTGCACCTTCCGAGGGCGTCCATGACGGCATTGAGCGTGAACGTGTCCGGCCGCAGACCCCGATCTCGCACCTCCGCGAGCAGCCGCAGAGCGTTGTTCCACCGCCCCGCTCGCCCGCACGCCTCCATGGCTACGTGGGAGGAACCCACCGCAATAGATAAGAAAGCGGCGAAATATGTCATACGCGTAAAAAGGGGGTAGTTGCAGCTTCCCAAGAGCAGAGAACGAAGACTCTACCGGCCGAAAAATCAGTTTGAGTTGTATAACTTTGCCTGCGCCCGCGTTCTTCTCACAGCACTTTATGCCTGCCGAAATCAAACCATATTGACCAGTCAGCGCTGATTGGTATAATGATCTCCATATTTCGGCTGCAATAAACACCCTGCTGACAGCAGCTGGGGTGGCGTGGGTCTCTTCATTCATGGAAGGCTTTCTTGCAGCAAAGCGATGCCGCACCGAAGAATGGCGTGGGTGAGGAGGAAGCGAGCTAGATATGGCAACTTGGCACAGGAGAGCACGAATCACGTGTCAAGGCTATCCTCGCTAAGGTGGTTTGCGACGCACGAGCATCTCAACATCGACAGAGTACTGATTAGAAACGGAACATGAAAGGGACTAGGCATTGCCAATAATAGCTTCAGGCTGTCAACGATCGTGTGCTTTCCAACGCGGTGCGCCGCTGTATGAGGTGAAGCGCGGCGTACAAGCTTTAGGCCACCAAAGCTTATCGTTCTGTTCTTCGACAAACACCGCACAAATGTTGCGGCGGTGCACGTGCCGCTGTAGCCATTTACATACCTCCGGTATAGGTGATGAGATTTGGCCGGACCCCGCTTTCCTGCATTTCCTTCAGCAGGCCGAGAGCCTCTTCCCACCGGCCTTCGGCACCGCAAGCTTTGATAGCAGAGCTGTCCCGCAAGAATTCATTCCGAGTGTTTGTTTGCAGGGTCAGGAGCGGGGTTGGCCGTGAACAGAAGGATACACAAAAAAATGAAGTGTTGCACATCATAGTCCGACCTCCGCGAGCAGGCCTTTCGGCCATCGTGTTTAACCTCCCGAACTTATTTTGATACGTGTTTTTACGCACCGTTGACTGAAAATCAACTTCACGGTGGGTCCGCTTCTGCCATGTAACGACAGTTGCAGGCCCTCGCAAGAGGGGAGCCCCAACGTCATGTGTGAAAATTCCGCTGCCGGCGACGTCATCTGCTTCTTCTAGTTGCGAGTTGTTGCTCCGCGCCCCTACCCTACATGTGTGCGTTGGGCTTGTCCATTTGTACGTTGTGGCTGTGTGCGTCACTTGAGTCTAGCTGCATGGTATTTCCCTGTTAATGTGCCTTGCATCTGAATTGAGCTGTGTCTTTACTTGCGGCCATCCCATCGGTTGGATTTTGAAGGCCCGGTGTACCTTTACGCTTGGCGTTGTAATTTTACCTGTATGCAACGACATCGGGGCGTAGTTTCGATCTCCGCATGTCCGCGAGCAGGTCGACAGCTTTCTCCCACTGGCCCGCCATGGCGCACGCGCTGACCGCCGTCCCGTACGCTATCTGATCTGGCTTGATCCCCGCCGCCTGCATTTCCTGCAGCATGACATGACCGTGTACGTTTAAAAGCAGGGATGGGAAACGAACTAAGAGCAGATAGCTTTAGCATCTAGCGCTCTGTCGCTATAGCAGGCCACTCGATGGCTTGAGAGTTCGAAGCCCTCACATGGCTTTGACCCGACAAAACCTTCACAACTGTCAGTGCAAGGTTGCGTACAACCATAATGGGGAGACCACAATGACACAAATCGAACACCACTCCGGAAACCACCGCCCCAAACTACAGCAGATTCCATGCTAAAGCACCAAGGGGGTCTTATGGCGAGGATAAAAACGCCGGCGGTGGAAACCCAGCCCCAAACTCTGCAATAGGTATCCTGGACTCTGTCCCTGAATGAAGAGTAACTTGTCTTGTTTTCGTATTAAAAAAATCTAAATATATGTACATGCAATGTCTAATCTTCCCAACACCTGCCCGGACGACAGACAACTACAATGAGGTGAAAACGACGCCTAGCATGGTCATGACTCTCCACCTCCATCAGTGCTAGCGCCTGTCGCCACTGCCCTCCGTCTCGGCAAGCCGCCACCGCCGCGCTATACGTCACCACATCCACACCCCGCAACTGCCCCGGAGACGATAACCTCTGGGCGTCCCGCAACAGAAATATGGCGTCCTCCCACCCCCCCTGTCTCCCACAGAGGCTGATGGCCTGAAACAGGCAGTATTGCAGGGACATGCGAAGACCGAGGGGAATGGTCGCGCTGCCTCAAGAAAGCGGGAACCAGGGTTGACAACATTGCAGGGACATTAGAAGATAGAGGGGAATGAACATGCCATCGGCGTAAACCAGGGTTGAGCACATTGCAGGGACACGTTCAAACGAGAAAAAAAGTTGCGTGCTGGCTGCTATAAGAACGTGGGCACAGGGGTGATCGCGGTGCACAGTGCCAGCTGCTTGACATGAACCTATGCCGACAATCAGCGAGAGGAAGACGGGTCACTACCCGAATGGGGTCGGAACGGGAACCCCTCCGTAGCGTACACACGGACGCCACTCGGCGAATACCCCACTCCACCTGGACGGGCGCAATGTGGAGGAGTATCATCGAGTCCGTTTCAGGCCTAAACAGCCAACAGAACCGCTTGCCGCGACGTTCCTCGAGGGCAGGAGACAAGAAAGGACTCGACACGATAGAGTTTGGGGACCTCAGTAACTACCCGTGTGGCCTCGGGGGAGAGAGAACACATTGCTTCTGTTAGCTTCGGGTTGTTGAAGACAGCGGACAACGGCAACACGCTAGCCTACATAACCTACAAATCTCTCGACGCCTGTCCTGATGGTGAGAATCTTGGAACCTGATCTGTGTAAAAGCGAGGACCAAGCACACGATTGACCCTGATAGTACCCTGACCACACCGGAGGTAAGCCTCGCTCCTGTGCCACATAAAGCGTGGCATGTCTGCGTGCGAACTTCCAGATCCTTTAGTTTCTGGGGAAGGTGTTCAACAGCGGTCGTGATACCCGCTGTCTCTCAGTCTCTCACTTTGTTGTACAACGAGATGTTGGGCACGAATCCGTCCGCACGCATGGCCGCAATCGTCGCAAGAACGGACCGGGCTTTGCCACCGTCTAGAGCCGCATGGATTGCCGCGGTGTGCACCCTGACCACCGTTCACAGCAGAAGAGCACAAAGACAGGACGCGCGCAGCCACGGTGGGTGATCGCGACGGCATCACGCTTAACGGTCGTGGAATAATCGTGCCAAGGACACGGTCGAAGAACACAAACCCCACGGAAAACGTTTCTCTATTACCACGACAACACCGGCATTCCCCGTTGTGTTCCCTTCCTCGTTAGATGATTGCCGCCCTGCTGTCTAGAACAAGCTACCTCTGGTATTGCTCAACACCTATCGTTGCCCGGATCCCCCCATTCCGGGTTGGCGTCGGTTGGTATTGATGACGCTTCAAAAACTCCACTTCAACCCGGAAAACAAGTTACCGGGGACTTGTTGCGTACATAACGTGAATTTTTTCGTTTTTGGCAACCATCAATGATGACCGAGTTTGGTCATTTCGAGCGGGGTGGAGAACGCACACTGTAACATGCAGAATACCCGGAAAACCGCATCGCGTCCTGTGAAAGCTGTCAAACACCCACGAAGTACCTAAGACACTCATGGCGGTCTCTGGACGTGGCGAAATAGGGCAAGAAATCGATCACTCGAGCGCTGCCATGCATATGGAAGGGAACGGGGCACGCCACCATGCGAAACGACGTCGGTAGGAGCTCAACCTTTTAGAATACGACTCGCTGTATGCCTCATGGCTCTTCGCTCTAGGTTCAGAGCTTTTTATCCAGGCCAAGTGAATACCAGGCGTGCCCCTTCCCGACCTAGTGGGAATGCGTAATTCTATGGCCCTACATTCTATACCAATCGCGAGTACCCCCTCCTCCTTCTCCTCATCCCCGACCCCCCCCCCTACTTCGCTTGGACCAAGAAACACTTCGTCTACGATATGCATGATCATGAGCACCCCTCCTCCTCCCCTGCCTCGCTTGGACCAACCAACGGCTCACCTGCCGTCGAGCTTAAAGCCTTTTGACCTGGCCTTAGCAACGTGAGCCAGCGCTTCCTCCCAAGACCCGCTCGCCGCAGACGCCTTAACCCTATCTACAAGCGCCCGCGATTCTCTGCTACTGCTGCTTCTGCCGCCGCTGGTACCGCGACCGCCACGGCCAGTTCGACCTCCACCCCCGCCCTCCCCCCTGCGCACACCCATCGCCCCCGACCACCCTCCCCGCTCCCTCCGACCAGCTACTCGCCCCGGTCCTTTCATGGAAGCGCTGCCGCCTGCGCTCGTAGAGTGTTGCGTGACGGGGCTGCTACTTGTTGCCATTCGGCGGCGGCGCTTGCTGTCCTGGCGCGCTGGTGCTGCTACCGAGGCTACGGGTGCCGATGCCGCGTGGGTTTCCCTCTCGCCGGAAGGCGGCGTCGAGGATGCGTTCGAATACGCTTCTGCAAAATTGTCGCAGCAGCGGCGACATAGTAAGCGGTTACCATACGAGCAACGGCAAGTATTGCGCAGAGCAGAGGGCGGCCAGCGGTTAGTCAGTGTGTACCACTTTGTCCGGAAATATAGGGATCATTGTATGTAGGGATCACTGGGATACTCACAAGAGTGCCTGAATGGTCCTCATACTTCCGAACAGAGTGGTATACAATTGTACATGCAAGCCCACCACTTCCACGCCGCTTCGTTCGGCATTCCTCCGAAAGACACGGAAGTATTCAGGTTTCACGTCGGTTCAGCTCGACGCCATTCCAACAACAAACCCCACCCAAGAGCTCACCGCAGTAACGCGGGCGTGCACAGAGTCTCAGTGCAACACAGCGTTGTGGGTATGGCATTCCAGGAATGAAGTGATTTGCGTAAAGCGGATCAAGCGGATCACAGCAGCAACTACTTTCAGGACTGGCCGCGAAATAAGCCCTCCAATCAACGTATTCATGATGCTGGGGCCTGGAGAGATTGTGCCTTGTTCTCATCGTCTGAATGGTTAAACACTGGCAGTGAACATGTCTGCCTATGGTGCAAATCAGACTACTACACAGCAATAGTAGTGTAGACTACAGCGTAATGATTTTCCTTCTACGAGGACCGCCGAAGAGTGCTATTTGCCTACATTTCTCAGAAAACCGCCCCTATGGCGTCGGGGTCGGGGGGGAGAAACAACAGTTGGGGTCGAGGAGGACACAGCAGTAGACAACACGTTACACAGTAGGTCTCTTTGCTGTTTTTGGCTTCGGGCGCGATGGCTTGGGCCGCCCTGTATCGGGTGGGCTTGAAACCTATTATTGCACCCACGGACCTGATAAGGAACCACGATAATTCCACGCGTACCCGACCCAGTCAAGACAAAGTCGACTTCCCACAACATTCGCCCATTCCCTACGCCTGCAGCGCGGGAGTTAATGCTGTATGTACCCTATTAGATAAAACTAGACCATCTGACCGGTCAACTATCTTTTGAAAGATAAAGTCACACCATCACACGAGTCAGCGCTGACTAGACTGATTGTTGAACCTTTCACGTTGAATAAAGGCTGCCCGTACGCGTTCGAATCCCGGCTGGTCACTTTCCCAAGCACCACTGAGTTCCTTACGGGCAGCGCCTGGCGAGGGGCTCGTCCCCGGAGATCCCTACTTTCATTCCCACCAGTGACCCAGCCAGGTGCTAACGTGCTGAGCGCATATCTGTTATAAGATAAAATTGGACCATCTGACCAGTCAACGTTGACTGGTCAGATGATGTAATTTTACCTACAGCAGTAACATATATATATACCCAGCGCTCCGTGGCCGGCCATCGCACAACACAGGTCCGATGTCATGGTTGAACTTCTCGCCCGACACTGCTGTTTCTGAGACCACGCCGACAGGGTGCATGATCACCTTTGACGCCGAACACCATCGCATCGTCGTCATCACTATCCAAGCCAGCATCCAGCTGCCCGAACACGGCCGCTGCCGCTGCTGCCGCTGCTGTTGCAGCATCATCCGGCTCCTCAGCAGGTGCGGCGGAACCTCTCGCAGCCTGCGGTGACACGAGACGTGGCCTCCTCGACGCGGCTATCCTCTGCCTCCTTCTTGGCGAACATCGGGGAAGCCATTGCAGATGTCTTTGTGTGGTCTCAGCGCTGCTGCCAGTGGTAGACAAAAATGATGCGAAGGAGCATGGGCGACGCATCTCCCTGCTGAAAGTACATAACGTTGTGTGGTTTGTGGGGGGTGAAGTGCGGTGCGATTCGCGGGGGTCCGCCAAGTTTTTTTAGTGTGGGGGTTCGTTGTTGCCGAACCGATACATACATGGTGTGATCCTAAAGCGCTTGCGTGTGTCACGAAGCACGCCATTTTGCCGTCCATAGATGACTGACACATGGTCGTTGCGTTTGGCCACTGTGTTGTTGCCATGGTGAGGAATCAATCATGATCGTTCTAGAATCCTCATCTGCAGCAAGGGCTGCCTCTCGCTCTCAAGCAGGTTTCTCCTGTAACAAGGCCAGTAGGATCGATCCTCTACATGCTCACGAAATCTCGAATCTCGCCCGGATCTCATGACTTCCGTGCTGGGTGGAATCTGTGATATCGCCAACAGAGGACCAACAAACATCAGAAGGGTCAGCCTCATCGTAAGCCTCATCCGTATCACCCTAGCCCGAACCTTTAGTCTGCCAAAAGTCGAAGCAAACGGTTCCTCGCATCTTGCGGGTCGCGCCCAAAGCGCGAACATGGATGGATGTGCTGCTGCGGTACGACACTCTCGAAGCATATGTAGTCTTAGTTGTACCTACTCCCTGGTGTACGGCCAACCAAAGATTCCCCCACCCAGGCCAGAGCATTCTGTGCAAGTGTACTTGAGCGTACGTATGTGTCCAAAAACAACTCATGTGTAAGATGAATTACAGATGGCGCTCGCACTTAGAACTTCGCAGTTAAGAAACGCAGCCTCGAAAAACTCGAAAATTAAAAACTTGGCCATTTAGAACACGTGCTCAGTTCCGACGTGGTATTAAGAAAAAGTACCCGTATTTGTGGTTGAACAAAGCGCCTTCGAATAAGAACAGACCCCCCGAAAAGTGGCAGCTGCAAGATAAGAACTCATGAAGGTCGTGAGGGGTGACTCATGGGGTGTCCAGTGACCACCCACCGGCAGTTTCAGATCAGCGACGAGGAGGGGGATCTCCGTTTCAAATAATACTGGTGCGGAGGGGGGGCGGGGGCGGGGCGTACTCATATGTTTTGCATATCTTAGTGGTTAGACCATTGACCACGCGTCCTCGAGAGGACGGAGTATTGTTCCCACAGGACCAAAAATCGATGACCAATCTTTCCCTCCTACTTTGCCAAAGATGGCTCAAAACCTTTTCCCCTAGCCTATCTATCCTATCGATATCACGTCCCGCCTCTTCAACCCACGTTCTATGCCCCAGTACACCTAGCTGGTATTCCATGCCTCAAACAGCTCCCTGTATCTACCGTATACTTTCCCCAAGGCTCAGTCACGCAAAATCTCCTCTCCTTGTACAATAGACATTCAGCAACTTCATAAACCCGGTGTTCGCACTCGGAGCCGCGTTCACATTTTACCTTGGTCGTTGCGGAGGGGTGAGGGGGCGGGGGGTAGGTGCTTAGCTTGTTGTACAAGGCATGCCCTTCGCCGCATGTCATTGGGGTGCCTGCCGCGCTGCGTGCCATACACGAGAGCCATGCCTTTACCCCTTGAAGTATTGAAAGAGCTCGGCCAGCTGTCAAAGTTGAAAGGAGATGTAATTCTTGATCGACACCTAGAGGCCATAAAAGAACATGTCATTGCTGGCAACTGCCCACGAAGTCAGACTGGGAGCCATCGAGTCGGCCCGGGGGGGACGAAAGCTTTCCTTCCCGACACCTCTTGCTTCGTCGCACACACCAGTTTTCGAATCAGGCGTCTTAACCTGCTGCTCTTGACAGATCGTTGCTGCAGGTGGAGTACTCGTAAAACTGAGCATGGGCTGATTTGGTGAGCTGATCACTCGGCCGTCTCAGGAGCGTACCCGCCACCTTTACGGCTACCCTGTGCACTTCGAGCTACATAAAGACCAAAGACGCGCCGCATGAATGCCGTTGGACAAGCACAGTGAAGATGCGGGTGCGGTGGTAGGGTGGTGGGCTTTGCTTGAGGGGAGCGCGCCGTAGAGCAGGAGGATGTGAAGGTCGTGATGCAGCTACGACGGGCATTCGATAGAGCAGGGAGGGCAATCACGCCGAACGTGACCCTTGTGGACCTCTTAATGGTTCAGCGTGTTTGGTCAGATGCGTCATTTTTTCAGGTGATACCGCGTCTGTATTTAACTCTACCCTATCGTGACCTGCGGTACGTCGATTCCAGAGGTCTCTGTTGAGCGACGTTCTAGTAATATAATCTGTTTTATGAACACGCTGCTCTCAAGTGTCAGGCTGAATCCACCCTGAAAAAAAACGTCCTCCGAATGGAGCCCTCGGCGTAGAAATAAGAACAAGAACCTCGTGTATCACAAGGATATGCCTGCTCGAAATAAGAACTTCGAAAATAAGAACATGTGCTCAATTTGAGGCAGCTATTAAGTATCGAGCCTTGGCCAACGTAAGCAGTTCTTAAGTGCGAGCGCCATCTGTTTGAACAGTGGGAGGAACTACAATCCAGAGTGCAACGAACGGGAGGAATAAGTTGAGCAGGAGGGACAAACAATCAGAGGGAGAGCGGGGCACGGCCGGTACGGTAGTTGATATGGAACGAAGCAAGGGCGAACGCAGTGAGACGAGAAGCAATCGCGAGGGTAGGAGAAAATGTGAGATGCGTTGGGATAAGCCGGAAAAAATGGCAGCAAGTAGAAAAACGATGGGGATGGGGATGGCGATGGGCAGGTCGGCGGCGAGCTCGTCTCGCGTTCCTTATCAGGTACCAGTCTCTCATGCATATCCTTGGGTTTGTCGACGAAAGGCCTGCGTTTTAGGCTGCAAAGTGTTGGTGATATTTGTACAATACGTCAGTGTTCGTCCCATGGCTTGGTCGGGTTCAAAAAGCAGGAAATCGTTGGATCCTTCCACAGGCAATGAGTTGCATACGCGCAGGGCTCCGGTTTCGCTTCCTGGGATTCGACGTCGGCGCACCATTCCTTCCTTCGCTGCTAGGTGAGGGACGGACTTCGACTACATAGGGGCGGTCAACGGCACATCTTTAAGAAATGGATAGTCGACACATATGTTGATGAGCGGTAGTCACGTTCTTTCACCACGCGTCTGGACCCTCTCCGGCCGAGCTACTGCGCACAAAGACCTTCGCAAGTCCTCAAATCGCTGCTACATGTTTCTTGGTGTGACCGCTAGTACTACAGTAGATGCATGCGCGGGATACCCTACCGTATGCTGGGGACGTTCGATCGTTTGACGACGTTGCTCTCACATTTCCGATTGTCAATTGTGTGACCCACCCTTTCCATGCACTATATAATGCTTGTTCAAGAGCGATTCGCACCCGATCGTTGTGTACGGGCACGCCCCCGTTCGCGTCGAAACCTTTTTGCCTCTGCAAGTTGTGGAGGCCTATGTAGGCTACGATCACGTGGATTCGATGGCTACAACACGGCCACACAGATCCGCACCGCTTGCGTTGCTGAGCAAGAGCCGCAACGCCGCGCAACAGACTGCGTGTGTGACAAGTATCTTTTCTCTGTCGAGGTATATCAGAGGAAGAAATATCCACCCCTGCGAGCGAAACAACCTTGCTTGGCGGGCCGCTGTGGATTCTCGGTGGCTTTCCTCAAGCCTTGATGTTCAGAACGTTGACAACGTCCTTCGCTATCTCCTCGTTTGCGGCAAGTACAACCTGCACAATCAGGACAGCACGTATCCAGTATTTCTGAGCAGCGAGCGAAGGTAACTTGAGCAGGGCAGATCATTGGTTGATGACCGTGCGCAACCCAGCGATGTTGGTCATGGAATAATTAATTTGCAGCGGCAGGAGGGCAACACAGCCAAGCGGCCTCCACAAGAGAATTATAGGGGCTACGTAATAGGTCTCCGAACTTTTGGGGTTTCTCTCTGGCCGTGAGGCTTGGGCTTCTCTTTCATTGCTTGGGATCTCGGATTGTGACCTAACTCCGGACGCGTCGTGAGGACCGGGCACATGTGCCGTATTGTGGCGATACTAGTTGAATGCTATTTATCGTGTTCTAGCCTGGGAACACTGGTGATCCCAAAACACAACTCCGCGAATTCAGAAGATATTCAAGGTACTTCATACCAGGTACTGGTTTTCAGCAGGATAACTGTCGAAGGAATAGCACCAACAGTGCATCAACAACGGGAAACTGCAACCAGAGGTGACCTGCCACATGTCCCACCATATCCCCTGGGGAGACGCCCGTCAAAAGTGCAGGAGTTTCCACCGCTGGCGGAATGTCAAGTCGATGACGACGCCAACAACTACGACGATGACGACGGCAACAATAACAACATCAGACGAAGGCGGGGTGTTCGAAAGCTCGATTCGTCACCCCCCTCTGTGACAAGTCAACGGGCCGGGGGGGAAAGCACCAGGGGGGGGGGAACAGTGGAAAATTTCTCTCATTTGCTTTGACACCTCAGGGTGGAAATTCGCCACGGGCACGGCTCTTTCAAAAGGCAGCATCGATCAGCACTTACGTTTTCGTTCCCATCACGTCCGCAGCGGGCGCGTGCGATATAACGTCAGACTAGGCTCAATGACGACTGGGCCAAACAACGGTTTCAGTGCGAATGAAGATTCTCCCGCGTGACAACGTTTCGGAAAACATGCGGGAAAGAGATGGGGCTCCAAAGGAGGGTAATCAGTATTTCGTACACAATTTATCCACCTGGGGGGCGGCAAGGAGTATTTTTGCGCTCAACAACGATCATCTGCATACCTCCATGTGAAGCTTATCCCATTTCAACGGCTTCCCTTGTAGGTCACAAGCGAATCCGCCAGCCTTCAGGAGAACGGACAACCATCGCGGCACATGCAAGCAGAAGGGGTGTGTCGCACAATGATGGGCTGGGGATGCGCGGGTTGAGGAATTGTCCTCTACTTGGGCGACTTCCCAAGGGAACCGTCTTGCAAATCACTTGCGTGTCGTTGTGTTGTGTCTTTGTATGAAATATCGACGCCGATAGAGAGCCCCGGTAGCCGCAGGAAAAACATCACCTCAACTACTTCGGCACAGCTACTGCTGTAGCGTACGTGTCCCTTGCTTGGCTGCACCATATTACCGGCACAGAAGGGCGACATGGATCTATTGCAGCAGCAGAGAGAGAGAAAACAGCCACAAAGGAAAGCTGGCGGCCAGATGCTGGGAATTGTCGAACCAAACGTCAGCATCCTCTTGGAACAAAATTTACAAAAGTATGCCTCGCAATACTGAGTCGGCCAGGCAACTCGGGGCTGTGCCGTGGCCAACAGTCCGAAACAGATTTGGTGTTGAGAGAAAAAACAAGTTGCGAAGGGCGCACATGAACTTCTCTCCACCCCTGCTGGGCTGAGCTATACCTCTTCAACAGCGAGGGAGCCGGCCGCAAAGTCCCACACGGAGCCCCCTTTGAGGTGGACCCACGCGCCGTGGACGCCGGACAAGACGTCCGCCGTGTTTCCGGTGCTGCACCAGCCAAGGAGAGAGGGGCAGAGACAGAGGCACAAATGTTGCTCCAGTGGAACCGGGAGGGCGTCGAGACTATGTGGTGTTGACGTCGAACTACGCGATAGGGAGGGTAATACGACTTCCGATGACGCCAAGCAGGAGTCTACGTAATGATACGCAACGCGTAAACAAATTCAAGAAGGAACATTGAATGAACCGAATGGTTTGTCAAGAACCGTGTGTTTTGTCACCCAAGCAATAGGTATTTGGCAAGGCTGATGACGGGGCAAAGGTGCTTGCGTATTCTACGTACTCCGAGATCAAACAATCGATACTTTCAAACATTTTGTGCCAACAACAGCAAGGCCGAACATGCGGCCATGGGTGGGTTTTCGTGTCGCTTCCCTTTCGGCGGAGGAGGATTTTTTATCGTTTGCACCCTTACGCCAAACGCGGAAAACCTATGCCTAGTTCTCGTCATACCTGTCCGAAGACATCCACCCAACAAAGAAGGAAATGCCGCGCCCGGTAAACACCAATATCACAGAAATGGTTTTCGAATATTGTAGATGTTGGTCCTCGAAAGTGTTGGGCAATGCCTTCCTTACATGCCCTCAACACAGGGACCACAGAATGACACTGATTCACACCTAGAGAAGAGGTTACGGACACCCATGGAGTGGTGCACCAGCCCCAGAAGCCGCTGCAGCCGGTCGTCCGGCACAAACTTACCGATCTCCGCCGCTACCAGGCACTCTTTCAATACCTGAGGAGTATTTGGTCGGTCGTCCACGAGCGCGGCGGGGGCAAACTCACTCATTACCGTACCCTCTTCATCGTCAACAAGACGGACCAACTTTGTACTCTGGTTACTCAAACCTACAGATCATGTTCTCCTCTGCAGAATCTTTGGCGTGCCTTGCCTACATGGGCCGAGGCTTTCACCCCCACAAGGGTGTCATGTACACCGTGGTGGGTGTGAACTGAACTCATCGCCTTCTATGTTTGGTCTTTGCCTATCACACCCCTGCTTTGCCTATAACGCTCCTGATGTGCCATTCGCAGCACATGACAGCAACTGCCGGTGTCAGGCGAAGAGCAGTCACGTGGGAAGCGTTCACAGGAGTTACCGCCAGCTCTCGAACGAAACTCGATCACTATAAATGCACCATGAATGCGCGGGTATTCTTCGATTGGGTATCCTGCAGGTTCCAAGGAGAAGGATACGAATGAACCACTATGTGGGTGAAACCCTGCCAACGATGGCCAGGACACAACGCCAAAGAAAAACCTAGGCATACACTTCGAAACACAGAGTAGCGTGCCGGCATTGGTCGGCCAGCGCGACCGCCGCCAGCAAGTTAGGTGCGTGTTCACCCGCTGAGTGACCCAAGCGTGAATCCCATGCCAATCTCCACCTACGGACTTGAGCAACGGTAGCTACGATGCAATCGGTAGACATTATCTAAAAAAAATCTAACCTGGCCTTTTTTTAGCTGAATAAGCTCCCCGTTCACCCTGCAGCCGTGCCCCCTCGCGGCCTCGACCACGAGGTCTTTTCCCGGGAGGTAAATAACTCCGTGCGTTGGGCCGGTGTCTCGTTGAACCACCGCTGCCGCTACCTGCTTCGTGCGCGTGGACACCAACAGGGTAGTGCATGGATAACCTTAGGTGTGTCTAGGATTCACTCGCGCCCAGGCTGGAACGTCTTCTTCGCCCAGATTGTTCGATGTCCTTCGGCGAACTCCAGGAGGGAAACGATTTCAACTCACGGGGCTTCGGGGTTGGCCTACAGAAAGGTGTTAGATAGCATTGTGCGTGCGCGCATCAGCTGCTACGTAAAGAGGTGAAAAACACACGAAATTGGGTCGCCCGCCGACAGTCCCACGGCTTTCTCGCTCGCGGGGCGCTTTTCTCCATACGTTTGCAGCTGCCTTGTCGCGGTAGACCATGCCCATCACCATTGTATGTAGTTACTCTCGCTCACCCCCCAGTCCGGTCCTCCACAGGCAAAGTTCGTTGTGCCATCAATCGGATCCAGAGCGAGGTACGCCTCTGCCTCCACCAAACCCTGGGGGTTGATTCGAGCCTGAGGAATACCAGGAATCTGCATGAAAATGCGTTAAGGGAACGTTGGAAAAGGTATGACCTCGTGGAAGGAAAGTCTGTCTCGAAATCAACGTTGTGGAGATGGTGTGGCTTGTGACACCCGCAACTTGCAGCAAAGCACACTTGTGTCGCTCACCACGGCTTGCTCGTCAGACTCTTCCGCCGCAAACGGAAGACCGGGCAGCATTTTTGCTGTTGGGCGCGGGAAAACATCGCACCGAAGGACACAAAAACACAAAGAGTTTTTCGCGGGGTAGGAAGAAAAAGTCCGCAGAAAACAACGACAAAGTGCAGCGAAAGTCGAGGTTTTCGTCAAGTCTCATGATATTCATGTCCCAAAACCTTTTGCACGAGATTGATAAGCTGCTCTGGTGCACCGGACATTGTATGAAGGCGAACCGCTGTTCCTTAGTCATAGCTTGTGCCGAAGTTCGAGCCTGTACTTGATCGATACACGGTTAACAGATCAAATAGCGCGAGGGCGCGCCCGGTGCGGCCCTTACCGAGACTCCCCATCGCGATTCTCTGGCTGACGAGGTCGCCTTCCGTGACAATGTCGTGATGGCCAGCCTTCTCCGTTCGCGACAGTTCTGTCCGCTGCGCGCGACGCAACGGCGGCATAGGGACGCCGACAAAGAGGCGCATGGTGCAAACAGACCCTGGAACCTTTCGAGAATCTCTGAACATCTTCGTTACTCATTGTCCAACCCCCCGGATCCGGCTGGATTTACCCTCGTCCAATGGAATCTATGCACACTCTTCTGATTTTTGTATGTTGATATTTTCTTGGTCATGTCATGATGATGGCGCCACGACGAAACAGAAAATAGAACGAAGAAGAAGGTGGTGCTGACGCTGCCGCTGTGTGTGTTCTTTTGTCGCCATCGCTCGGTATACGTACGACGGCGTCTCGAATGCATGTGATGATGTACCAGTACATACATACATGCACAACAAGAACATACAAAGCTGCCCGCCTGCTGTATGATTTGATACGATGTCATCGTCAAATTCCTCCGTCGGAGTAATCTCACCAATGGGGTCTGCGTCAATATGCATAGTTAACACCCAGCGACCACACGCATACCCGCTGGTCGTTTGTCCAGCCACGTACAGCAGTGCAGTTGCTTCAGTACGTGTGCGAGGGTGAGATGGATATGGGATATATGTCTAATATATGTAGTATGGCTTGGTGTTGGTGTTGGTGTTGTTAGGTGGTGAATGTGGTCAAGAATTAATGAGTGGCCCAATCGATGAGACTTTTCCCCTAACGGTGCCAGCAAAACTCTTCTCTGTTGAAGGTCTTGTCCTTATCGACCGCCCTTCGCTTGGTTTCTATACCCCCGCGGCGTAAACTCACCAAAATTCGGTCTGCACCAACATTCGATTTGTCACCATACATTATATATCGTGGCATGCTGCTCGGGGAACATTAAAAATACAAGCTGGTCATCGTCCAACACCATGAACTCAATGCAAACCTGTATGGATGAACACCCAGGGACACACGCATCCCGCTGTGGCCGTTTGGTCAGCCATGTACAGCAGTACATAGTACTTGAGTACGTCTGAGAGGGTGAGATCGATATGGGATATAGCATGGCGTGGTGTTGGTGTTGTTAGGTGGTGAGTGTGGTCAAGAACACGAGATCCTGGTCAAGAATTAGGGACCCAATCGATGAGATTTTCCGTTCTTATTCATGTGCCGGACCGATATTCCAACGATGGTGCACTTACATGGTACCAAGTGGCGGGTTCACCATGTGAACCCGGGTAACGAACGATCGCGTTCGAATGAAAAATGAGGGATCATCGGGCGCTGCATCTGTGAACCGCTCGAAACGCTCATGGCTAGAGTATATTGTACATGACGCCACGCTGTTGTGGTTGAAGTCTCTATCATACACAACAGCAGTGTGTCCACAGAGGTAATCACATAATAATTCGTCGCTGTGGTACACACTTGAAGCGCGAGGGCTGCACTTCCCGCCTTGCGCACGGCCGATGACATTTCTTCGAGCACGCGGGGGGTGTCCCTCAAGCTTCCCTGCCAAGTCTGGACCCCTCCCTTTTCATCCGTGGACGCCATGACGTCATTGAGAGCGAAGAATGCACACCTGATGGCTGCATGCATGCCGGATGCCGGAGTTTTCGCCGAGCGAGAGGCATCTTCGTAGATTGGGGGAGAATCTCCGTAGAGCTAATGCGGCGGCGGATCAAAAGTTCGAATTGGAAATTCGCGCGTTCTCCTGCTCTACACTGCTGCTGTACATACCTCTTAGACACACCTTGAAACTGGACCATGACAAGGAATGGGGGGGCTTCCAAGGGGAGTAAGGCGGCAAGCTGTGCTTTCATGGGCCGTCTCGACCTCTTGACAACCGCGATCTACCCCCACGAGCTACCACAAGAGGACGAACGGTGAGCTTGAGTGATTGGGCCGCAGACCTGGATGAAAGTACTTGTCTGTAAATTGAAGTGCTGCTGCGCGTGTGCGGGTATGTGGCGACTGCTATGCTACTCGCGTGTCTTAGGATCTTCCCATGAACGTATGAGACAATCTGCTGCGTACCCGACGCTCTCGAACCTCTACGGCGACACCGATAACTGCTGTACACATGTTTTTTCTTCTCAAGCAAATGGGGTTGGGCCGTTTTTAACCTTGTCTGATGTGACGACAAGTGGCGATCGCTACGTGCTTGGCAGCTTTGCTGGTGTCCGGTTGGCCCGTTCCGCACCCGAAAATAACTGTCATTGTCGCCACAGCAAGCAGGCCACTCTACGTCAAAGGCACAGGGCTTTGGAACAGCGCTTGCTGGTATTGTGTACCTATTGACGCTGTGTCCGCGTACAAGAGAGTGGGTCTTTGGCGGACGACTGGCCAATCAGCGTTGGAGTGGGGAATTCGATTTAGGGTACATAGACCTTGCGCAATTGGAATTGATTTTCGTCCGCGCAATGCACGTTCAGGTTAAACTTTACGAGATCCGCGGAGCTGTACAGCAGCGGTGGTTGGCATACGGTAGCATCGTGTTCGTGGGCACGAGTTTCTCTAAAGCGTACAACACGGCAGCAGTACCTGACGGCGAAGTACGTCGTGACACAAGATACCACACCCCCCACACGCCCCACACCAACTTTTCAAAGCTCAATAACTCCCGAAGCAGAAACAACGGCGGTGCCGAAAGTGGCGGCGTTGGAACCGTCTTGTCGAGAGATTTCCGAACGTGGTTTATCGTCGTCGTGGAGTATTCGAGCTTCGAAAATCGGTGCACTGGGTGTGGTGCGTATATTGTGTCACGAGCAGCCTTCGAAGGGTTTTCGTTGACGTGAACACGTTGGATAAAGCATGCAATAGGGCACAATGGGTTGGGGTAAGGGACAGGGTCGGTGTACCCCCTCGTCGTTCTACTTCCTCGTAAAACTATTTTTTTACCGCGAATGCGGTCCTGTGTAACCTACGTATACGGCAGTGATTTTTCGAGTAGGGAACACAGCGGGTACGGTGTGGTCCGGCTTGGGGAACATCGCTCGCTGTTCGCATGGTGCAAAGTTCGCCGAACGGGAATGACCGTCCGCGATTTTTTGTACACAAGGAGTCGGTACACGGAGTGCAAACGTTGCTCCTTTGGGCACAGCAGTGAGCAACAGTGTGCAACGCAGCTCGTTTTCATTTTGCTGCTGCTTGTAGAATCCGTATCATTCGAAGCAGGCAGGGACGGGCCATTTGCTGCGCCTTCCCGACTCTGATGCGTTCGCAACTTACACGCCCCGCCTTCATGCCCATGTGTGTGCATCGTTTTCCGGCACCCTTTGTTCGTTTCCCCCCCCCGGCCGCACGGCAGAGATAGTCCTCCCCCGTTCTCGCTGACCTCCTTCTCGGCCGTCCTCTCTGCCCTGGCCGGCATTGTCAACCTCTCGGGGCATGTCTTCCGACCGCTCGTGGTGGTCTGCCTGTCAACTCTGCTCGTCCTTGGGTGAGAGTTTTGGCGACAGGGACGATGCTTGCGTGACTGCCTCTATACGCGCGCGCACTGATACAGCGCCCGCTGCGTGGCGGTGATGTATGCGCGGACGTCTGCCCTCGAAGTATCAGCTCTTGTTTCTGCGATTGAGATGTATTTGATGCCGCCGTACGCTGGTCCGGTAAGCCTCTTCCAGAGCTTTAGCCGAACGCCCTCCTGGCTTGAACGGGAGGCCAGAGCAGGAGATCCCCGATTTGTTTGGTTCTCGAATCCAGAATGCTCTCTCTGCCGTAGTCTATCCCATGCACCAACCCCTGGTCATGCGATGCTTGCTTTGAATACCTCGCTCGCGCAGGATTGCGAGAAACTACTGCATCGCCGCGGGATTGGCCCTGTTAGTACACCGCATGTTTTTCGACGGAAGGTTTGAGGAGCTTAAGCGCCTGTCGCATCTGCGACCTGGGCTTCACTGCGGCCGTACGGCGCGAACCGATGCGATTATCTCGATGGTAACCGCGCTGCAGCACCCTCATTACAAAGGTATCACACCCTTTCGCACAGCAATGAGCTTTGTTTCCTTGTCGCTGCGGGAACCGCTGAGTCTTTTGGTGGACCCAGGATGTAGCCGGTGTTACCGCGGTTGGTGATGTGGGCCTTTCGGATGCCGCATTGCTTGCTAACGAAAGCACCCCATGTTGGAACGGCGTGGAAGGCTTTGGACAGCCTGAGGCCAGCCGGCACGTAACATGTGGTGCACAATTTCTTTGAAATCCTCGGGGCCTGCTTTTAACGTTAAGAAAGTTGCACCTGAAATGAGCACCCAATTTGGATGGACCTAATTGGATTTTTGACCGAAAAGGGCTTGCGTCGTTTTGCCACACCCAAATTCCAATGGGGGTTCAAGAACACCCCAATGCGGTGGGATCGCTGCCGCGAGGCGACGTGGTCATCAAACAAGTAGAGCGATGGACAATGTGCACCATACGTGAGCTGCTTAATGATATCAGCACACACGCACAAAGCTAAGCATCAGCAGGCGGTGCCAGTGGTCTAAGCCTTGTCGTTGGGCTTGCTCCACAACTTTTGCTTGGACTGTCTCGCTATGCACAACCTGTCTTTGGCTTTTGACACAGCACATTTTGGGAACCGACCTCCGCAGCAACCCAACCAGGGCGAAAAGTTGACAAGCTCACAGAACCAATGCAAAACAGCTTATTTCCCAGCAGCGGGCAGTGGGCGATGCGTGTGGGTACCGCACGGCCAGTGTGGCACATGCGGCTCCGTTAGGGATAACGCCAACACGAGTTTAGCTTTATCATGGGGGTTCAAAAGGGGGCGCAGTCCAACTCGGGTATTTCGACTCAACAAAAAATAATTAGATTTGCAATTGTTTTGTCTTGCACCCAATATCGAAGTCCCGCTGTTCCGGGCAGAGAAAGCCTCATCGCGATTTTCCCTGCTGACCAATCAGCGTCTTTGGCCCCGGATACCCCCCCTAACGTAGAGTTTGCAGGGCCTCTACTTAGGTGGCAAATTTTAGCGTTAAAACAGGCCCTCAGCTGGCAGCAATAAGCGCACTCGTGTGCATACCTTCCGTGCGAGGCTCGTTTGACCTGCCACCGCGCCCCTTGTTCTTCGCTAACCCCTCTCCGGCGCTCTCCCGCCCACCCGCCCGCACACAGGCACGCCCTGGATAATCGGAGGGGACCTGGCTACGCTGTACCCTTTCTTGGCGTTTCGCTCTTTTGCGTTTCACGTCCCGGTCGTCAAGTACGCCAGGCGCTGGCTAAGCGTGGATGCCGACGACACCCGCACCAACGGCACCAAAGCGCAGGAAGTCGGCGGTGGTAACGGTACCAACGGTGGGATTGGCGTTAACCACGACTCTCCGGACAGTCTTGACGGCTTCACGACCTGCGGCGGGACCCCGAGTGCTCCCGGAGCGGTCCCTTCTGCCGCCAACGGCCATGGAACGGGGGGTGATGGCAAGGGTCTGGATGACGGCGATAACAAGGAGGCAGTGGCTTTGGACATTGCTTTGCCGGATACGGGTTTGGACCCTAGCAAACCGTTTTACCTTGTTCTGCACGGCCTCACTGGGGGATCGGCGGAGGTACGTAATTTTGCGTCAATGCTTCATGGCGTAGGCATCAAGCGCACTCGCTGCTGCAAATACAATTCTACTGCGGTCCGTCTGTCAAGGGCAGTGTGGTTTTTTGCGTTTGTTGCCAAACGAAGGTATACCACCGTAGTTGGTGGTGGCAACCGAATCATTTGTCACGGTGTGTGTCGGCACAGAAGGTTGGAAAACCTCTTCGAGTATGTGGCCCTGCTGCATGTGCGAACACGTACTGTAGACCTACGCGTGCCATTCATGTGGACAATTAAGCGTAGTATCCTCGAAGTGCAAGTATGGTGGGATCTCAGGCCCATTGAAGATTAGTCTTACCTGCTCCTACCCCTGGCTTCCCCGATAGGCCTTAGCAAAATTTATTGTGAGACGGAAATATTGATACGCGTCATCTTGCTGCAATCCAGACTTGTTCCGGGATATATTCCTACATGCAAGTGTTACAATCTGTTCGCGCTGCAGCACATCCGGCGTCAGTGCGTTTGGTCTACCCCATAACGTTTTTTTTCGGATGCCCTCTCGACCGACGTGCGCGGTTGTTTTGACCCTCGACTTTTCTGCAGCCATACGTGTTGGATTTCGTTACTCACGCGCTCGGAAGGGGCTGTGGCTTGTGCGTCATGATTTCGCGAGGCTGCATGGGGACACCCGTTCGCGGCGACAGTGAGCGCAGATGTCGTCGCCCCTTGTTTTGTGTAGCTGGAACAGGCTGCAGAGGCATGAGGAGACGAGTTCTTCGGCCGTTGTTCAAGAGGGTGGAGATGGCCCCAACCGTAATTTTCGGGCGGTTGTCAAGGTCCATCCCTTTTCTCGCACGATACATGTGGACCGCGTACACGCTGTATGGGTGCTCACGTACGATGATGATTTTAGTTCACATCCTAAAACTCGTTCGAGTAGAAACACGGAATTGTTGCTCGGCCCTCGGCAGAACCGTTGAGTATACATGGACGAAATAATATTTTCTGTCCGCCAGAGGCTTGCTCATAGTTTGAAAGACCAAGGGGGTCACGCACCCGACCGCAATCAGCCCCTGTTTGTGTTTCATCGCCTTGTTTTTTCTGCATGGGTCTGGCAGACGACTGCCTGTCCTTCGTCGATCCCCTCTTCGCTTGGATCAGCGCCCGACCCTGCCGCCGTCCTCTTTGACAACCCGCACGAAACATGCGACAGACTTTTTCCATGGGGCAAGAATTTCAGATGTGAGGTCGACCGTGAAGGCTCTTCGCCGGTCGCTCCCGGAGCACACGCCCCTGGTCATGGTTGGCTACTCCATGGGCGGCATCATTGCCACGAACTACGCGGCCTTGACCGGAGAAAACAGCGGTGTTAGCTGCTGCGTGTCCATCTCTGGGAGCTTCGATACAAGGTGGGGGTGCACTGACGGTGATTGGTCGGGGACCGAGGATTTCTTTACCTTGGATTGAAAGGCGCCATTGAGTCGTAGTTTAGTATTTTTGGTACCAGGCAACCATGTTTTTTTCCTCTTTGAGATAAAACAGCACACCTGTTTTCTGATTTTGTCGAGCCGAGTATTGTTGAGTGTGTTCGGTTTTCGGCCAGAGCGCGGACCTCACTCGTACCAAACCAATGCCAAAGTGATGGTGCAAGATCACCCTAAGCAGCAAACGTTTGGCGTCAACCTGCGGCATAGAGCATGCGACGGCAGCAGTTTATTGCCTTATTTCCCGGCTTCCCGGCCTTTCTACGGCAGGGGAACGGACTCATATGACTGCTTCTTGAAGTAGCTCTTGCGGACGATACCTAGCCCGTTGATCAAAGCACATCCTCGATCTGTGTATGTAGCAGTCTATGACGTGCCGGGTAATCGGGGAGTACACCAGCCGTGATATTTGCTCTTATTGCCCGGCACCAATTCTCGTCCATCACACTTGCCCGTTTTTGTGCTGTGCAACACTGCAGAACGAACATCGAGTCGCGACACAGCCAACAGGTTTGGCAACCGTTGCTGGCGATGGCTCTGAAAGAACACTTCGTCCTCAGCAACACGCGGGAAATTGTGAAAAGGTTCGTTGAAGGATCGGCTTTGTTCGGTTTGAGAGGAATCGGGGTCCCTTTCCTGATGACCCCCCACGATGAGACAAGGTAAAAGGGCGGAAGAGTGTAAGGCTATCTCGGGGAAGAGCTGGTCTGGGGGTGGGATGGTAGGTGGGATGATTGGCCAATGATTCGTCATCTACGGCAACCTCTGTGGCATACGATCCCCTCGACCTCCGCCGGCCAATCCCGCTCCATTGTGGGGCTGCGAGACGCCCACATAGCCATGCTCGTCAACACGATAATCTCTCGGGGGGGGGGGCACACATAAACGGCCCACCGTTGTCGGTGCCGGAAAGCACCGGTTACTTGGCCGAGAGCTGCCTGTCGTTGTAACCGACGCTCTGACTTACCCAGGAAATGGAGGAGGTTCGCACATGTCGATTTTTGGGCTCAATAAGCGAAGTTGTCTGTGTGCCGTGGATCTCCCAACACATTTTTTCATGTGTCTCATTTTGAAACAAATTTGACGCTCGTAACACCCAATCCCCGTTACCCGGAACCCCCGAATGCATGCAGGGGTCTGAATGTTTCAGCAATCGAGGCCTGCAAGAACGTTCTAGACATCGACACGCATCTGGTCGCGCCTTACAACGGATACCCTGTGAGTGGTACAACCGAACCCTGCCTTATTTCTGGGGTCGACGGGGGCAACAAAAGGGGCATGTCTGCACTCCATGCCAACCCTAACACAAGGGGAAGCAGCGCAACTATGTGACTGACGCTTTGCTGTCAAGGGCATGCACGCGAACACCTGTCGCACACGAGGCTGAGTCACGTGTACCACAATTCACAATATTCTGTCCACAAGGGTCGTCTCTACGCCAGCGGGGCTCTTGGGCTTGCCCAACTTCGGTGCTCGCGTCTGAAACTATGTGCACCGTCGTTGCTTTTTGTTTCATGTAGTTCGCTCGAGTATCGTCTGATTTGGGCCGTCCATGCGTGTATTGTCCCTTGGCCAGAGGTTCTTCTGGAACCAACTCCCGTATCATCCGCACTGCAACAGCAGCAAATTTTTGTTCCTCGGTTTTTCGTAGTCTCTCGAAGACATGTCTCAGGTATAGTCTCACTTCGTCGCTATTTGAGATTCTATCATTTTTTTTTATTATTTCTGGCACCGACACCTCAGGATGTGGCGGCGTACTACGCCGATATGAGCGCCGCAGCAGACGGCAAGATCGCAGGTCTAAGGACGCCGACGCTGGCGGTAACATCGCTTGATGATCCTATCATGACAGCGGACGGCTCGCCGATCGCGGAGGTCGATACCATCAAGAACCTGTTCATCTTGCTCACACGGTGTGTGTTATTTTGCCTCATGACGAGTGGAGGAATGTTATTTGCTGGAGGCTGAGAGGCATCTCAACATTAGCAGCAATAAGAGGAGACACAGAACGAGAAGCGATGGCAACGCATACAGGCAGAGAGTTGCAGGGAGATGGACAAAATACCACTGCTCGGTCGACAAGTTTCGTGCGTGACCAGCGCATTTGTTCGGCATTTCATCAGTTTATGGCACACCCCATTCTACCACGTAAGAGCCTGGTCCGGTGAGAACCCGGCGTGCTCTGTCCCGGCTTTGTAGGGATGAGAGGTCAATGGTCTAACGACTACGGCATGCACGACTATGAGTACACCCCCGTCCCAATGCAGCACCTGGAAAGCCTTTTCAACCATGCTGTGAAGCCACCAAGACATTTTGTGCCCTCATTGCTTGCGTACGATGCCTGCTTTCCGCCATGCAGGAACGGAGGCCACGTGGGGTGGCCGACAGGTTGGAATCCAAACCGGAACAGATGGGGTTGGATGAGCACAACGTCCCTAGACTTCTGCGAAGCGGTCGTGGCCACCGCTGACTTGTGACCAACACGTCTTTTGGGACGCCAAAGAAAACCTTTGGACGACTACAGTGCGGTCTCTCTTTCCAAAAGGACCAGGCGCGATCGAGAGGTAGCTGCGCGAGTCGAGCTGAATTCACCACGCCGAGACAATGGTGCTGTTCGTTGGCAGGGTCCTCGGAAACTACGGTTGTCTTTGTGTTAGCGGGTCGCGCGCGTGTAACGGGTGTGTCTGCGGGGGCACGCAATGCCTATGCCACTGGGGGGGGCGCCGCTTCTCCTCGTCGAAACGTTCAGGCCCGACGTCATTCGGTATTTTGCTTCGGCCTAGAAGTGGAACGCGTCTAAGTATGGCGGCCTTCAAACAAGCCGCCATTGTTGTGAAGGAAGTCAGCCGAAAGGGGGGGAACCTTGTACAGTACGGCGTGAAAAGAAACAGAGCTGAATCTCCATTGCTCTATTCGAGCATTCTCGCGATGCTCTTGGGTGTTTCGTGTCGATCTATGCCGTGCTGTACGAGGACATCTTTGGATGTCCGTGTGGTGTATGCAAGTTTTGGGTTGTATGAAGACCAGTCTCTTTTGTTGGGTGCGTCAACTTCGGCGCGTATTCGGATGCGTAGCGCCCGGCCAGTATTCGTGGCCCAAGTAAATGTGAATCAACCTTTGAACATGTCTTCGCGTTCCTCCGTCATGTTATCGATTGCGGTTCCTTGCTTCGATGTATGGTCGGCGGGTCATGTAAGTGCCAATCCCGCAGAAAAGCGACAGACTGCTTTCCCTTTTCTTTTGCAAGGATCAACGTGTCAGTATTCTACCTCTACCTTGGAAAGAAAAAGGCGGTCTCCCACGCCCCTTAGGCCGCAAAACCCTGTCAGTGACAGATAGGTGCGACGAAAAAACGACGTTTCGTACCCTTAGTACGCACACACCAACTCCTGGCATGCAACTTGAAGCCGCGATATGTCCGATTGATCCAGCATTGAACTGGCTGCATGCCGGAGGATGGAGGGACATCCTTGTGTCCCGAAACCTGGAAACGCAAGGCGCAGAGAGGACTGGAAGCATATGCCAAACGTTGACTTTGTCAAGGTATTGCCTTGCTCGACTGTGTCAGCCGTTGATGATGCCGAGGGCCATCTGGCCACCTGCGCGCCATACAGTTTGGCTTCGACGGGTGCAGCCCTTTCGTGAATGACGCCCAATTTCTATATGCTATGCTGAAGCAGCTGCGAGACATTCTGAAGGATACGCTTCAGGTTTCTTAACCCTTTCGTGACTACACCCCCCAATCGTGCATGTTAGCATGCACGATAACTCTTATGTGCGACAGTTTTCGAACCGAATTGAGCTGTGGATACCTGCATCGACGACCGCTCGACGGTACGACTAGACCGCTCGAAAAGAAACAAAGTAACGACCGGGGACAGCAAAAGCACGTCCCCTATACAGAAAATTGAAAGCCTGGGAGTTGCAATGCTCCGCAGCACCCTGCATCCCGCGCTGCTGCTGTGCTGCTGTGGACCTCAGTCCAGCACGCAGAAACGCGATCATGAGGCCGTTTTGACCTCCCAGAACTGAGCAATTTCCTCTGGGTCCATGGTGGTGATGTTGGTACTGTACTGCTGTGGTGCTGGCAGGCTGTGGCAGGAGTGACAAAGTGTCAAACAGAGACACCCGCCCCCGTGCCTTCGCGTTTTTGAGAGGGTTTTCGTGACTTCAGGGACGATAGCATGCATGATAAAACCTGTCTTTATCTGGTACGAAAAATCATGCTCTCGCTGTTGAGTTGTGTGCCCTCTTCCTTGCCTTCGGAATGTGGTTGCAGAACTGAAGGCCAAGCTTACGAGGCCTCTCCCCGAGTTCTCCTGCGCGAGTGTGCGTTCGAGTGTTTTCCTTGTCCGTCTTCAACCAACTGCCACCACAAGGCATAGTCTATCTCTCGCGCGGCTCGTGCTTGCTGCTGCTGCTGCTGCCGCGGGCTGCTGCTGCTGCTGCTGCCGCTTTTTCATTTCGTTTCGCATGCATGCATCCCAACAAACCGTACGTGCGTGTGTGCTTCTTGTCTCCAAAGGATTTCCCACCCAACCAAGTGGCATTGGAGGCGGTGCCACATGCCTTGCGCCAGTGTGCTGCATCGGCGGCGGGGTAGCGTGACATGTAGAACTGCTGTGCATGCGATGTATGTCTACTGCTGCTGCTGTATCCATGTATGCCATCATCATGTGATAATCGTGTTTGGGGTAAAGAAATACGGCGCCCTCTCCTCTCTCTCCTCCGGTTTCCAACAGCACCTACAACAGCAGTACAGCAGTGTAGTTATCGGTCACCCATCACAGTCTTCACGTGAGGGTTACGCTGCTGTTGGGCACTAAACCTTTGTGGCACCACGGGGTGCGTGCGGTTGACCTGTGTGGGAACCTGTTGGTGCGCAAACGTGCAAACGTTCAAGTGTGTGTGTCGTGTGTGTCTCATGACTCATCGGTCTATTCGATCCCGGCAGAACAAAAAAAACCGCGGAAGATCCAGAAAGAACCCAGTCACGAAAGGGTTAAGTCCCCAACATATAGACTGCCTTCCTTGTCACATCATCAGCGTTCCGATAACCCCCCCTATTTACCAACCGACTCCTGCAGTGTTACATGTACATTGCCCATGGACCCACCCATGAGACTCCTCCCTCGACAGGAAGTTGCACCCGACACGCAATCAATATCATTTCTGTACTTCGTGAGTTGACGTCCACGCGTGAGAAAATAAAGCACCATCTCAAAACATCGGTAACGTCCCAAACACCATTTAATCTGGCCAAGGCCCAAGCGGGTGAGTGAAAGGAGGACTTACACATGGATAAATATGCTGAAAATCGTTCAACATATCGATAACCATACTGAAAACCGCTCAACTACTGCACCGCAGGAAGCACCGTGACATCGCCCCGCTGCATTTGGTACAACCGATACCCTATCACCATTCGACCGACCATAGCCTTGGAACAGAGGAAAACAGCGAAGAACTACGGAGGGCAACAACAAAGACACAGTCAGCATACACAAAACATCACAAAACAATCAAAATCTTTGGAGGGAAGTTGAAATCCGTACACGAGTTTGACTGGTACGTGGTGTAGACACACGGACGTAATCAGTTCAGTTCAAGTTCTCCACAAAAAAGACCAGCGACAGTACCCGGAACAGAAACATGAAAAACAACGTCGGTATAAATTACAGCATCACAGTACCACTATGGGACGAACACACACACACACGTCGACGCTGATAAAAGAGTCACACAGTATCACTTCATTCACGGATTGCCCGCCTCACCCTAACCTAACCATCACAAACACCCGTGCGCCTTGCTTTGCGGGCAAACATACACCAACCTTGCGGCCGAACGTCGAACCAGGAGCCAATTACTTCCACCCCGTGTGTGGGTTACCAGTTTCCCATACACCAATACAAGTCCTTTCCAAGTGTTTCTCCCTCCTTCCACTCTCCACCACAAAAAAAGTAAACCCTCCAACACATGTGGCGAACGCCAAACCAGAATCGGGATTCCCAGGAGATACATAGGAACACGGCAGAGCGGGGAGATCCACCACCTTCGGTAGGAGTTTCACAGAGCCTCGGGAGGAGCCCAGCTAACCTGCTTGGCTCGCTTCCCCCGAGACTACCCTGCCTAGCATCATCTCAGGGGCAAGATTTCCTTGACGTGACGAAACGTAGGGCGGTTCTGGGGCTGCTGAGCCCAGCAGAGCTTCAGGATGTCTTCGATTTCAGGAGGGGTGCCACAGGGAATTGCCGGGCGCTCCCCCAAGGTGGCCACTTTGAAGCAAATCGCTGGATTACCAGCTAGCCCCGACCAAGGAATTTCTCGGGAAAGGACCTCCCATATCACCACTCCGAAGCTGTACATGTCGCTCGCGTAGGAAGCACACTCACCGTAGAAAATCTACACGAGACAAAGGCAAGCGCAGACGTGGGGGGTGGGGATTCAGTGCCTGTTGCAGGGTAACTGACACGAACTCGAGAGGACGGTAGGAGGAGCGGGCCAGGTAGCCCACAGTCGATATTGTTGTCTCTCGTAGGATGTCAAAGGCATCGTGTTCGGTCTTGCGCAAAACGGTCGTGACACACAGCACGATTCCCCTGCGAACAAACACTGCTCTCTGTTAGATACGAACACCCTGCATCATTCCTCGAGCATGGAATAATCGATGCAGGTCCCACAAACAAGGCCCTTACCTCTGGTGCAGTCCATTGCAACGTCATCGTTGTAGAGCCGTTTCCCGCGGTACGCGTGACCAGGCACGTGCTGGTCTGCTGTTTCGTCGTTCTGGATGTCCCGAAGTCTCCTATCTGCTTATTCGCAATACGCGGGAGGAAGCAGACAACAAACCCAGAGAGGAAGGGTCACCGGCTAGGAAAAAGGCGTGAAATAATAGAGCGACTCCAGAGCGACTTCATGCGCTCATTGCTAATTAAGTGCCATACCATACGAAACGTGTGGTGACATGTCGAACAAGCAAAACAGGGTTACGGACACAAACAACTCCGGCAAGAGCAAAACGATTGACAACGAGTATTAAGTTGGAGTTTGTGCGGCCTCCTAAGCTCAGAGCCATAGACACACTCTTTTCTCCGTACCTTGGCCCTGCCATTTCGATCCAGCAACACGTTCGCAGACTTGAGGTCGCCGTGGATGGTTTCGTTCTCGTGCAGAAACGCCATCCCGGCGCAGACGTCTCCAATGACACGCCGGGAGTCCTCCTCGGGAAGCGGACCCTTTGCTTTCCGGAGGTAGCCGCGCAAGTCTCCGCCCTCGAGAAGCTCCATAACAAGAGCCAGGCGGTCTTTCCGAGAGGTGATCACACCGTGAAACAGCACCGTGTGAGGGCTCTTGAGACGGTACATCGTGTCCACCTCGTGCATGAACTGCTTCTGCTGCTTGCTCGCCCGTTCTGCCATTGGGGCGTGTCTCCGATCCCCATTTCTCTCGCTCTCGTTGAGGCAAAAGCCCTTGAGCCCGTGGTCGACGTGAATTATCTGGACGAGGGTGCAGGGTTCAATTGAGGGCCGGAGCATTACACGTGTGCACACGCAATGGGGGTGGAAACATGACCCAACTATATTTGGAAACTCGCTGTCATAGTCTGGAGGGAGCCAATGCAACTATATCGACATTTGACTATCGAAGACAACTCGAATGCCATGAGGCGCTCCGCCAACTGCCACTCATCGGCGAATCATCCATCTAGCCCTCCCAGTCTCGTCCATGCAGGAAAGTGGCACCGTGCCACTAGAATGGGAATCTTACCTTCACTGCCACGTTTTCGCCCATGTAGTCGGCCATGTACACCTCTCCGAAACCGCCTTGCCCCAGCAAATCCAGTATCTCGACGTCCCCCTCCGGGATCTCTATCTCGCCCCACTTCTGTTGTCGTCGCTTACGACGGGCTTCCGCTAGGGAGTCTACGATTGTCTCTGCGGACTCCTGTCAAGAGAGCAAGCAGTCGCAGGAAAATCAGTTGGTAGGGAGGGGCTTGGCAGACAACAGTAACGACGAAAACAAGAAGAACGCAGTACAAGTACATCGAACATAGTGGCAATGAAACAAAACTCAAGTGTTGGTGGTAGAGAGGGGGTTCATGGCTGCAATCGTACCTCGGGGAGTCGTGACTGAGCACTCTGCAGACGGTCGTCTCGGATCATTTTGTCCATGCTGTGCCTCACGGCGTGCATGTCGTCAGTAATACGGTCCACCTTGTTGACTATCGCGTTGACGTTGCTGCCGATGTGGACCCCAATCTTAACCTGCTCGGCAAACGTCAGTTGTTCAATCATCGTCATAGTGCAGGCGGGATTACGTCATCCATGGGCATTCCATGAACCTTTCTGAAAACATTTTCCAGCAGCGGTTTGATCAAGCTCAAGGTCTTCCTCACAGTCGTAACATGTAGAAGGGTGGGCTCGGTTAAGGTTCTTCCCAATACGATCGCTCGCTCGCAAGGGAGGCGTCCCGGCTTCGCAGCAAAGTTGGCTATCGTCTGATAAAGATGTCCACGTTGTCCTGTTGTGTCCTTCACAATTTCGGGTACGCATGACCGCAACGTGTCTCGGCTGCAGGCACCAGCGTATGAGACCGCACGGTCGTTAAGACACACCGGCAAGCAAACCATGAGCCAGCTAGAAACCTTGAAGAGACACTACACCGGCAGACACTAGACTCACGTTCAGACCATCCATAGCCCGACTGACGACCGCTTCTAGCTGCTCCTTTCGGCGCTTGAACAGCGGCGACGTCACGACTTGAACGATCGTGTGGGAGCTCCTGTAGGTCTTGATCAGCTGCAACAGGTTACTGATCGCGTCCTGGACGCTCATAACCCACGTCGACCCTCCTCCCGTTGTATCCTTGCCAAGAATTGAAGGAAATTCGGACATGTGCGGTTGCCTTGCGTTAGACGACATCATATTGAGAATGGTAAAACTATCACGCTGACTCTGACCTTACGGAGAGCGAGCTCTTGAACCAGGTGGAGTCACGCCTTTCCACATGTGGTCTTGCCTCTGACTTTTTGCCCTTTGGCATGGTTGGTGCCCCTTCGCACTCGAAATGGGGGCAAGATGTGCTGAATTCATCGGCTGTCTTCACTACTGTTCCTTCAGTTTATCACTTCGGTGAACAACATGATATTGCGGGTGTGTGTGTGTGCTCATAGTCGTGCATGCCGTAGTCGTTAGACCATTGACCTCGCATCCCTGCAAAAGACGGGACGGAGCACGCCGGGTTCTCACCGGACCAGGCTCTCACATCACCAAGCGCGAAGCGCCGTGAGATTTTCGGCGAGTCGCATGAAGGGTGTGCTGCATCCTGCTAAGGGTGTTCAGCATCTTGTGCTTACTTCCTTGCGTACGGATGGCAGCTGCGTATGACTTCATCATTTTTTTTTGTGCTTCACTTCCAGAGACAGTTATAAGCACTGACTCGAGAATGCGTGACCATTTTAACACAACCTGGTGCGATCATCCCCCTTGCGCGCAGTGAGGCTTCTCCACCCCGCACAACATGATCCACTCGACCACCATCATGGTTACCGCCAAAAAAAAACAGAGGTAAAAAACAAACAAACGGTAACCTGGTTGCCGAGCTCACGAAGTGAATTGGCTGCTTTTACAACGTCGTTACCAAGCGACGAAAACCAATCCCGACGGCAAACACCGATGGGGGGACTTGTTTTACAACGTCGTTGCCAAGCGACGAAAACCCAACCCCGATGGTAAACACCGGGGGGGACGATATTGCGGGGGCGGGCCAATTGAGGGCTGGAGATGGGAAGCCCAAAGATACTAGATGTCGCTCAGCGTCGTGAGTGTGGGAGGACATTCCTTACACCCTTGCAACGCTGGGGAAAGGTTGGCAGTGTGCGCCACAAAGGAATCGCTGCGAGGTGGTCTTGCAATGCGGACAAAGGGTGGGCAAGACGCCAACAGCCGCCTATCGGGCAGACTTTCGATGAACTCATGGGCTTGTCGTTGCGAGGATAGCAGCCTCGGATAGCTAGGCTTTCGTCTGGCTTAGCGTCTGGCAAGCACGAGAGGTCCATCTTCCTCGTGGCCATCGGCCTCAACTCGCCGTCGCACGGTCATCCAGAAAGACAGCCCCTCCGGCCAGCCGTACGGTGTTTTCGTGCTCACCTTGCGTGGACGACCAGTACAAAGGCGAAACGGCGGCGTGCACGAATTCTATATTGAACGCGAGACTCGCACGCAAGATATTGGTATCCTTCATGTGCTACCGACATCAAGCTTGGCCTCACCTCCCGTAGCACACGGTCCGCGTCGTCCAGTATGTGGAGAATTCCCGAGCACCAATTGGCTGTTGAGGTCGCCTCCGCAAGGCAATCTCGACGCTCTGATGCGAGGCTCAGCATCACCACCAACAACATCGCCACCTCGGGAACGAAGGGAACCGTCGACCTGTCCGCCAGTTCCTGCGCCGCTCTCGCTACGACTTCGACCACGTTGAACGCGTCGGATAGGACCTGACGAACACAGCAGAGCCAACGCGAGTGTCACGGAACCAGCTAGGTTTTGCGATAGAAGCAGGACAAGAGGGAAGGAGATTGCCTGTTGGCACGGAAACGGCTGCCGGCGTCTTGTACGAGGCACACAAGCAAGCCGCGAAATACCTCTCTCGTTCTCGCAACTGATACACGACCATTATTGTTCGACTCAGCACTCAATGCCCATCGTCTCGTGTGGGATTGATTCCTCAAGTTACATTACATCGTTACAGGCCCCCTTCGAAAAATACACAGACCAACACTTTAAGACGTCACACCTCCTCAGTTTCTCCTGGCGCCGCTCCTTCTGATGAAGACGGCGGTGGTCCAAGGATTGCCGATGTCTGTGAGGTCGAAGACGATTGGCGCGAAAACAAAACGGCACGTTGGTTTCGTTTCATTGGGTGCCAAGCAAAGGTGGAAAACATGCACCAAATGCGGATGACATCCTTATATTGATCAAGCTCTGTTCTCGACAATCCGCGCGCTATTATTCATAACATCAAACGTCCCGGTAGGGTTAACACATGTAGCTTCCTTTGGTCCTCCGCAAACACCAATATTCTAACCTTATCCCGAATCATCATGCGCGCAACTCGATCTGAGATGGTATCTTCCCGCTCAGCCTCGACAACCCCGACAGGGGCTGGCCACATGTCGATAGTCGCCGGTTCCGGCGGTGTATCCAGCTCGACGGAATCGGGGTCACCTTGCGACTGCGACGACGGTGGAATCATCGAACATGGTGGCGTGTGTTGAGTCACCAAATCACAAAACCCAACGGCAATTGCCTCGTACACGTGTTTCTCGGGAAAGGAGTCAGCACAACGGCAATAACATACCCCTTGCCAGGGGTCTGTAGCACGACGGCCGCACCGTGATCTTACATAATGGACACTCCCACACGTTCGCCCCTTGCCGGCATACGACCCAAATGAGTCGAGGTTGTGCGAATCTGCTCCTGCTTAATCTTACCGTGAAAAACGTTGCCCCTTCCGCAATTGCTAGACCTGGTCTGGCGTGGACGAGCACATGCACATCCGCCCGGGGGCGTTTTTCCAGGACGCACGTCCGAATGGCCTCCTGCGGTGCACGTTCCGAGCGCAGCGATGCCACGTGTCAACGTCGGGTTCGGATGGCAGCGAGATGTGCGAAACAAACCACCTGACCCGGATGCTTCCAAGGCCCGCTTCGCTGTGTGCTGCGTCTAAATTTTTGGGAGGTTGTCTGTATCTGCGTGGTGTGGGGACCTTTCCGTACATGCTGCCGTACCATTCGGTTCATGGGAAAGGCGACTACCCATCGAAAAGCCCCTCCAATCGGACCAAGCGAAGAAAAGGTGCACCCAGAGAAGGTTTGAATGCCGAAAAACAAGGCAACCAATCAAGACGAATATGCGCCTACATCGCTCAGACGCCGGCAAAAAATTGAAATAGGCAACATGATACACCCGTATTTGCTCACACAAAATATCACTCCCCAGAAAGAGGTCACCTGGACGAGAAAATTCTCCGAAAAGCCTCCCACCATCACGACAGACTTGACCCCTTGTAGCTCCGGTTCGTCCAGCTGCTCTGCCACCGCCTGCGAAATGCTGGTCGTGACCGTTACCGAAACCATGGAAAGACGTAGGTGGTGAGCACGTCACTTCCGGCAAGACGTTCTCCGCTGCTCGTGCTACCCGTTTCAAGCGTAAGCCCGGGAGGGGAAAGCTCCAACCTATCTGCGTGGTATCGTTGAAGTGCTTGGGGGCGTATTCTGCTTTGATTGTCTTGGAGGATGTAGCGTCTCACCTCTCGATAGGCTGTTGGAAGGCCTTCCTCATCCAAGCCGGCTTCAAGACCAAGACCGACGTCCCGTAACCGCCCACGAGTTCCTGATCGTAGAGAAATGGCGGAAGGCCTTGAGTGTATGCGACCGTTTTGGCTCCTTTTGCACATCAGTATTCGTTTATAGCCAGCGCGTCTGTTCGGGCAGCCCTCCTTAAGATTGCATGCCATCGTGGAAAGTATCACGCTACTTCTGCTAGTCGACAGTTTCAACCTCATGTCTCTGTAAGTCCTGCTCGTTCTCCCAAGACAGCCAAGCCTGCAAAGAGGTGGATTGTGGTCGGGCAGCGAGAGGACGGGTCATGCAGTCGGATTTACCATGCCCGATGTATCTATACTGTGCTGGCCTACGCTTCTGACATGCTAGGAAATCATGCGGAAAGTCCTGATTAGCACTTAACCCTATTTGGGAACTGGGTGTACTCAATAACGGTACCCCAGCGCTTCCTTTCAAGCAAGGCGGTGGTTGTTCGAGTGGGCCAGTACCAGCTACCCCCGCTAAAACGACCGTTGCCATCTACGTACACCAATAGCTGCTGCTGCCTTTGTCCGTTTCATGTACACCAAACCGCGTAGTGCACCACACCCAACGGCAGCGGCCGCGATCCAACGGTAAAACTCACCTCTCCGTGCCCATTCTTGTCGTCTCTTGCCCTATCCATGTCTTCCATGGTCACCTCGAGCGGGTAATTCCCCAGCTCGGTCAAGTCGATCCTGCATTCGTCATTCTTGTCCTTCCAGCCCACCTTACTTGTTTCCCAGGCCTGTGCTCGGCAGCAGCGACAACAGAGAGAGTATTGGCAATGGGTGATGCAGCTCCCCCAACACACTGCGGAGATGGGTTTGTACGAACCACAACTCTGGGTTTTGATTTTTTTCGGAATGGCAACTTCTAGCGATACACACCATGATGGACGTGCCCACCGCCGTTGGTGACAGTTGACAACTCGTAAACTTGAGGTTGAGTCATGCATTGGAGTCTCGGCGGAGCGATGAGAATATCGTGGAATTGAAATACGTCGCCAGCTTGTTGGCAAACCCTTCACCTAACTGTCGCGCGAGTAGGCATTGTCGGGCCACGTAAAGCAGTCGCTCGGGGAAGATCGAGCTGTCACGGCCGACAACGCTTGGCGCACCTGCATGATGCGGAGCTTCGCCGAGCTGTTCAAAAAGCTGGTGATCGCCCGTTTGCCGGCGCCGGAAGCGGCCGAGGCAATGAAACCCTGAATAGACGGGTAAAAACAAACCGTGAAGTTTACACGGTCAAGTCCTTGCCCAGACTACTAACAATGGATCCGGGATACGCTGCGGAACTGTGGAAGATTCTGTTGCAAGATATCCCACGCAAACGATCGGCCCTGATGCTGACGCCGCGCACTGTAACGTAGCATTTGTTCATCTTTCGAAGGGTCCCGGCGCTCACAACCCCAGCACACCTTCCGATCAGGTTTCAGCGATCAAGCCACGAGACATGGCTTGTAACCTGGTGACTATATCACGCCCAAATGATTCACGCACCCGCAGGAACTCATCGAACAGGATGTCCAAGGTCTCAGATCCCCATGGTCCGCTCCTCCCCTTGAGTAGTTGGCATAGCTCCCGCTTCTCCGTGTCGCATACGCCAACCACATGAATATCGACGGTCACTCCTCCGCAGTCCACCACCTAAAAGAAAAATAGTCATGCCTGTGCCACGTCGATAACCCTGAAACATGCCGCCCGAAAACTTCCGCGGGGTTCGAACAAGTGTAGGTAGAGCGTACAGAGAGCTCATTCAAGGAGGACAGCAATCTAGACAGTGTCAGAGCGCGGTCAACTAGAGATGAACCAAGGTACAACGCTTTAGGGATAGGATATGGGTGGGGCGTGCCGACATCATAACCGGTGGCGTGGTGCGGGCTCCTGGAATCGAACGTACTGTCAACGGTTTCACCACGTCACAAACCAAAACCAGCGTATTTTAGGTCACCCCACTCCACATACATATAGCGCCCGCACTCACCAAGTATGTTTTGCCAGCTTGCCAGTCCAGCCTGTCTTGGAACGCAAGGCAGGCAGCGATAGGCTCGGGGCAAAACTTGAGACCCTGAGTACACGGTGAAAAAACAAAGCCGAACAATTGAAGAGCGGTGGATGAGCCTCGAATCACAGAAATACGAAAGGCAGGCCGACGAAAGTGAGTGGCGATTCATCATGAGATCCGAGACACCACCGAGAGTCTTCTTCAAGGGACAAAACAAGCGCAATGCCGGGGCACCGATCCCGCACCTCGCGGTCGTGCCAATCGTTGACCAAGCCGGCCATGACGGCGGAATTTCTCACGGTCTCCCATTGGCGGTCCGAAAGGGAGGCTGGAACGGTCAGCACCCAATTCACGGAGGCGGCCGATACCGGTTTGCCTGCCCCGGGCAGGTTCTTCAAAGCAGCCTGGAACGATGTTAAGGACCAAGGTGGGCGGAATCGGGCTGCCTCGTCGCGTTTATGTCCTCCATATGTACACAGAGCGCGGTAGCCTATCCTACTCACACCACCGACGCGTTGACAAGAACAAGACGTTCATAGAACGAAGAAAGCGTGCGAGTTGAAAGAGGAAATCCACTTGCGAGTACTCTCTGTACTGTTGAATTTCACTGGGAACCACCCTAGCTTGTCGACACGTTCGGAAACACCGTGCTGGAATGTTCTAGCTGCACTCCACCACGCACGTGGGTAGGGCGATCATCTCGCCCGGCAATCACGCACTCTCGTGTCGGGCGAAACTGTGCTCTAGGTTAAAAGCACCAACTACAGGGAGTGACGTTCATTCGCTTGCTTACATCTCGGGCGTGCATGAGCAAGTAGAACATGATCTTCGCCAGTTCCATCTCAGAGCGGTTCCTCGAGCACTTGACCACACTCTCCGACGTCGGCTCTGACTCAACCCGCATCCGTTGACGACCGAATCTCCTGAACAGTTTGGCTCCGACCGGGCAGCTGCCACAAGCGTAGCTCTTCTCGGCGGTGTCACCGAGCGACACAACGGACACGTTGTCGCGATGCACCAACAACGAGTTCGGGCTCTTGCGAACGACTTTTTCGCGAGGCTGCTGCGTGTCGAGGTTTCGGACGGCTGGAACGGGATCCCAATTGGACTTCCAGGAACATGCCGTTCCGAACTTCCCGATGTCGATGGCGACGACAGGAGGAGCATCTGCGGAGATTATCCAGCAAAAGGGGCGCAAATCGAGAATAAACACATCGCATCAGACCGTAGGAGCCACCCCGTGTGATCGAGGTGAGTAGTCATGGCTGGACGCTGGACTTACATGCAGGGATTGGTGTGTCATTCGCAACTAGACCACCACACGTTCAATTTTATGCATGCACCGCCGTATTTGAATTCCTCTGTATGACCCCGGATCGGAGCCCTTCAGTAACGCCGCAGGGGAGGTAAAACAGCCATTATATCGTACCGATAGCCGTTATTACGTAGAGAAGGTCACCGGCCCCGTTGTAAGACCAGACAGAGCAATATGCTGCAAATATGCATGGTGATGCATCCCGTACGTGACGTAGGATACCACACCCCCCAGACCGATTTTCAAAGTTCGATTGCTCCACGATAAAGAGAACGTGCAGTCAAACGATAACGGAAAAGCCCTCGGCCAGACGGTTCCAACGCCGCCATTGTTGGCGCCCTCATTCCGCCTGCTGCGGAGTGATCGAGCTTTGCAAGTTGGTCCAGGGGGTGTGCTGTCTTATGTCGCCTACGGCATCCGGGAGAGAGTCTTGTATAATTTTTGAGAGAGGTGGCGAGTTGACTACCTTTCTAATTTTTCTGCGCCACGCATGAGACTCGTAGGCTGAGACGCTGATACTGGTGTTTGTTGAGTGTCCTAACGGCCTGCAAATTGCCGTCTGTCTGTAGACGACTGCTGTATGTACGTTCTGTGTACAAACGACTGACGGGCCAGCCACCAACCACAACGACGTCAAAATGAAGTACGTATAACAAGAACGACTTCTCCCGCAATTTCGGCCAAACGCGTGGAAAGCACGGGTCCTGTGGCGGTGGACACGCATACAGCCCGAGTGGTTACCACAGGAAAGAGAAGCACGGACAGCAATGCTGCTGCTTGTACTGGTGTATATTACCCGCTCAGGTCGGGCTGCTCGGGTTCGAGTTGTTGACGCCGTGTGTGATCCGGGTCGATGGCGATTGGCTGAGGATACGAGCTCCAACCTCAAAGTACAGCACTAGACTATATGAGTGGTGGTGCAGGACACGCATGTTTTCCCTCAACCCAACGCATGCACGTGTTCTTCACCTCTTGTGCCGAGCACAGGAACAGGGTAGTTGGAATGCTGGCGCTTTGATGTCCTCTGAAACAACCCCATCCTCTCCGCGGTTTGTACGCGACAGCAGCGTAGTTCCAGGCCCTGTCCTCGCTTCTGACTCAGATATCCCTGTATCACCCCGGCACAACCTACCTCTGCACGGGAGAGATAGAACAAGGGGGGGGAGATAGAGGTGGAGAAATCCGGTGGACAGAATGCAGACGACAGGCTGTGGCTTGCACGCTCCGGGTGGCTTGGGCGAGGGAGGCGGCACGAATTGTGGTGTGGGGGACTGTACAATTGTACATTTACATTTTTTTTTTATTTTCATATGCTGGTGCGATTCCAGCGCGGGAAAAAAGCAAGGAAGGTACATTTTCCGATTAGCAGCAAAGATTCTGTATTTTTTATCTTCGGGACGATGCCCCTTTGCCTCATTCCGATCCCCACACAGAACATGATGGATGGCAGCACCCTCGTGTTCTCGTGCCTCCACACGCTTTTCATACACTTCGTTCTCTTCCTCACCGTTCATTGGCAACGTGCAGCACCTGTTATGTATCATCTACAACAAGCTGGGCCAGCCAAGAAGCTCACTTTCGTTCTTTAGCGTCTCATACTGGCTCCTCGACAAGCTTTTGCTTAGACATGGGTTGTAGTGAAGGGGGGGGTCTTTCTGGCGAGCAGGGCTAGACTCACCCTCAAGGGATGACCGAAACCTTCTTGCTGCTGCGCATATCCGCCGCGAGGCATGCGCGTGGTGGTGTAGTTGGGTCGGCACTGATGGGGTCAGGCGAAAAAATGTAGATGC